AAATTATTACTAGGTATTTGACAGCTTTCATGGAACATTTGGACAAATACCAATAATAGATACATACAATCAAAGAACACTTAAAAGGGCAGAAAAAAAGTTGTATTGAGAAGAAAATGTCAACTATTTGGCACACCATTAAATAAACAAGAGTTACAAGGTCACAGTTGCATAAAAACTGACTAATGTTTAATAAAAGATTATAATACAGCAATATTCCAATGCTGTGAGAGGGAAATTCAGGTCTATTCCTGAATTATTATGATGGAATAAGAGATTTTAAACCTCAACTACTAAAACAGGAAGCCAATAGAGTCTACCAAAAAATGATAGAGATGTACAGATTTTAAGTATTTTACTTAGCAAAATAGTGAATACCAAAAGAAAACAGATAATGAAGATGAAAGCCGTTAGGGGTAAGAATACTAGAATTGATAGTCCGGATTCGGTTCCCTCCTCCTCTCCCTTTTTTCTGCTCTACTCTCAATCTCAAGCTACATGCCTTCCTTAGACAATCCCATATGCATGAGGTCTCTGTGTTTGAAGTCTCTGGCTTAAGTGAGTTTTTGTAGCATCCTGATTTGGGGTTGGTTCTCTTCCTCTTGAACCAAACCTGGACAGTGGAATTTGAGACCAGGAATGGGACCTTGAGGGCAGCAGATCACAGGAAAAGCTTTGCTTAAGCCAGTTGTGGACCCAAGGGGCAGCATGACAATGAGCTGCATTAGGTGTAGCAGGTATGGCAGAATCCCAGGGAACTGGGGGACAGTTGAGTCACTGGGCTGACCCTCCCTACACAAGAAGCTATGAGAGTGAGGGGAGACTGGAGAATAGCTTGTTTCTTACAGAAACCTGTGACTTTGAGATGGAGGAGGGGCCATGAATTACACTTTACCTTTCATCACTTATAGGCCCATAGGAGTCCCATCATTTAGGATATTCTAACGATGAGCTCTACACTCAATTGAGCTGAAATGAAAAATTAGCCACCTATCTGAGAGGCCTAGCATAGACAGATCAATCAGGCAGAAACATCTAGACACAAACCCACTGAAATAGAATGCCTGAGATAATGCTTGGATACCTGAATTAATATCTTCATTTGAGAAAACACAAGCGCACCAAAAACAATGCTTTCTGGGACTTACGATTAGTGATTCAAAGAAAAATTAATATAAGTCAAATCAGTTTAGGATCATTGCAGAGACTCACATTAGTGTACCTGACCAGAGAGAACCAGAGGATATCGTAGCAGAAACAAGTGACACTCCACCTCTGCTAAGAGCTTGGTGGCTAGACCAGTGTCAAGGTCCCTTTGAACTTCAAAAGGGTGAGACTTGTAGATTCTACTATGTGCCTAGAGGGAAGAGAAAAGATTCCACAGGTGGACAAATGGAAGTTGACCTCAATATTCGAAGTCAGAGGAAAGAGTCTAATTAAAAGGCATGAACAGAAACCTTAGGTGAACTACAGGTATGAATGCAGACATCAGTACAGAGATAGAAGCGTAATGATTAAGGATAAGCCACCTGAAAATATGTATCCCAAGTGCTAAATAAGATCATTTAAAACACAAGAGGCATTCCGTGAGAGAAATTCTAATTACAAACGACCCCTGCAAAACCTACCAGTTGGAGTTTAGGGAAGAAAGAGATTAAAATGTTCCAAAGGTCTCATGTATTATGAGAAGGAAAATAAAGAGGGGTATACACTATTCTAAAGGTTTTATTCTATAGGGGAAAGGAGTAAAGCAAAAGAATTTGAGAATCAGAATACCATGGTGAAAGAGAAAGTGAATTCCAGTGAAGGACTAGTTGGTGTCCAGTTTACAAATAATAGAATCATTATGTGTGTATTTAAGAAAATGATGAGAGGAATAACAATAGAAAGAAAAAAATTTTTAAATCTTCAATCTAATCAAGAGAAACCTAGAATGAAAAGCAATAGAATAATCATCCAAGAAATAGGCTAAGGAGAAAATAAAGTAAAATCTAAAATAATAAAGTTTAATAAAATGGAAAGTATCATAAATCATACTCTGAATAGACTGAAACTATCCAAAAGAGAAAAAGACACAAATTGAAATAGAAAACAAACCCCAAATGCGTGCTGTTTTCAAGGAATATGCTTAAAATAATAATACTTGTAATAAAAATAAAATAAAAAACAAAGGGGTGGGCAAAAAAGTTAATAGGCATTGAAACCCAAGGAAAATAAAAATGGTACCATTATTGTCCAACGAGTTGGAATTTATAATAAAAAACACTGAAGGGATTAAGAGAGGGCAAAATACACATTACAAGTAGAAATCAAGAAGATATTAAAGATGGAAATACATATGAAACAAACAGCATGGCAGCTAAAAAGATAAAACAGACAATATTAGAATATAAAGATTAGAAATATATAAAATTCAAAAAGTGCAAATATAGCAAGATTTTATTAGCATTACATAGCATTATACAGAAGAAATAAGTAAGATTTGAAAGTGGCTGCCTCTCCTGAGGTTTGGAATTTGTGAGGTAAGAGCAATGAATGCAAAATATGTAGAAACAAGCCTTTAAATATTCTTTTATTTTTTTTAATTAAAACCATGTATGTATAAAACTTTAATAGTGATTGAAAATCATATCTATGAAATAATATCTCAAAGGGAGAAAGGTTGGACCCACTGATTATGGTAATACTATGTCTTTTCTGAATAGTGAGGATTAAAATCCATGCTATTGTTTTACTCTCTGAGTAGATTAACTTCTTTAACATTTTCCTAATTCATGCTAATTGCAAATAAATATATAGACTTTATATATGAAAATATTGAAAATTATGGACATTTCATAAAGTTTGTGTTGTTTATTTCAAATGAGAGGTAAATATTAAAATCACATTAAACTGGAAAGAAACAATTAAGCAATAGTCTCTAAAAATAATCTCATTTACAGAGAAAAAAAAATATATATTTTTTCTTGGTAAAAGAATATAAATTTTTTAAAATTAAAAATTTGTTATGTTTGGTTTAAAATTTTCTTAAAGTCTCTATATATTAATGAAATTCTAAACCTATCTCTTCATTGCATGCTATTTTGTTAATGTTTCTCTTTAAGCAACTAACATTTCCCAGAAGTAAACCAAGTTGATACAAAATGGATGAATGGAAAGATCTTAGAACATTTTTTGGTTGGCTTGCCAGGCCCATTTTAATTATAAGCTTTAACTACATTCTTTTTATGAGATATGTGGATAAATTCATGGGAATCTAAGTTGATACTTATTTCCTTTTATGACTTGTTTTTTCAAAAATCTTCTGTTTTACATAACCATTTTATAAAATGTGATTTTATCAAGTTCAAACTGATTTAATGAGGATTTTAATTAGAATTATGTTAAATTAGAGGAAATTACCATATTCATAACACTCATTATTTCCATCTAGCAATTTCTATATCTCTTTATATAGCCAAACCTAGTTTTATATTTCTTAGCAGAATTTGATACTTTTCGCTATATATTATTCACATATTTTTGTTCATTTTCTATTTTTTAGTTTTCTCTTAATTATATTTTGCGAACTGTTAATGCTAGTTTATTAGATGTATTTTGGATTTGTAAATTAGTTTTTGTGGTCATTACTTTAATAAGTTTGTTTTAAAAATGTACGTGTATTTTAGTATTTTTTCCTTTGGTTTTCTAGATAGACCATCAATGTTAAGCATAATGATAATTTTGACTACAATATTTACATCTTTTGTTTCTTGTCTTATTGCATTGGCTAGAATGAGGTTAAAAAGTAATTAGCACAGTAGGTACATTTATTATGATACTTTAGAAATCTACTATTGAAAATGCCTCTAATACTGCTCCATAAATATGTAGTGGTTTGTTCATTCTATAGTGTTTTTTGAGAGAGTGCTCATCTATTACTATTTTGCAAAGTGTCTTTCCTGGAATGATGGTTAAATTTAATCAAATAACTTTTGACCATCTTAGGAGATGATCATATAGTTTTAGGGCTTATTAGTGTTATGATATATACAAAAGTATTTTGGCATTTCTAGGAGAAACTTTGTCTATGGTGGATTAATTTTTAATAACTTAATAAATTCAATTCCATTTGGCATTTTAAAATATGGTTTATGTTCTATAACATTTTCTTGGTGCTAACTTTGTCTATTTTTTATGTCATGAGGAATACATACAATTTAATCCCACTATATATTCTAAAAGAGATTGTAAGAGTAAGAATTATCCAATGTTTAATATTTGTGTGAATTTACTAGTAAGTTACACAGACAAGTTATTATTTTAGAGATATTTGTCTCCTAGGTTTTCTAGTTCATTTATTGTCATTGGTCTAATTTTATTTTCTAATTATTGAGATAATTATGGGAATTTTATTTTTTTCAGAAAATCCATTAGATTAGGATATAAAATATTAATATATAATCTCATAGACACCAATAATTTATAAGTTAAAAAAATCTTCCCCAATTATGCTCCCATTTATTTTAATCTCTTCTATCAAAAGATGTTAGAAACAATCATATTTATAAATAGGATATGAATAAATTACTTTCATTATATTGCTAATTGGTTGCTTAAGTGAATTAAATATGATTTTTTGGTTTATTTTCTTATTCTTCATTTATATTTGTGTTTTTAATTTCTAGACTTATTGCATTGTAGTATAAAAATTGTGATCACATGCTTTGTATTGTTTAGATTCACTAAGGTTTTTCCTTGTGGCAAATAAATGATACATCTTAAAAGTTGTTTCATGTAACTAAAAGTTGTATGTTCTCTATTTATATGATCATCAACTAAACTTTATTGTCTATTACTATTGGTGTTTTGTATGTTTTTTTGTATACTTTGTCTTCTTTATTTGACTGGTTGAAAAACCACTGCAAGTGTTTTTTCCCAAATTTTTATTGTCTGATCAATAGATTTGTTAAAGTAATATTATTCAAACCACCTATTTCTTTTCTTTTTTTTCTTTTAAGGAGAAAAGGAGAGGAAGAAAGAGGAAGAAAAAAGAGGGAGAGAGAACAGGAATATTGCTTCATTCTAAAAATGGGTATTAATAATGGCCGATCAATATTTTGTGTATTTAAAATGGAGAACTCTATAAATATTTATTGAGTTTATTTGCTCCGGATCTGAGTTGAAGTCCTGGATATCCTTATTAATTTTCTGTCTCGTTGAGTCTAAATCTCGTCTTATGTATCTGGGTATTAAGATCTCTTATTGTTGCATTGATCCTTTTACCACTGTATCTTTGTTGCTTTGAAATCTATTTTATCAAATGTGAGAATTGCAACTCCTACTTTTTGTTTATTTATTTATGTTTGCTCTCCATTTGGTTGGTAAATTTTTCTCCAACCCTTTGTTTTGAGTCTTTGTGTATCTTTGGATATACTGTTAAGTTTTGGCTGTATCTTTTGACTGGGGGATTTAGTCGATTTAAATTTAGGATTACTGCCATTTGATGTTAACTGGCTATTTTATCTATTCGTTGATGTAAATTCTTCTTTATGTTGATGCTCTTTACTTTTTGGTATATTTTTAGAAAGGCTCATACTGGTTGTTCCTTTCTATGTTGGTTGCTTCTTTCAGAAGTTCTTGTAAAGCAGGCCTGGTGGTAATAAAATCTCTGAGTACTTGCTTGTTCATAAAAGATTTTATTTTTTCTTCAATTGTGAAGCTTAGTTTGGCAGGATATGAGATCCTAGGCTGAAAGTTCTGTTCTTTAAGTATGTTGAATATCAGCCCCCACTCTCTTCTGGCTTGTAGGGTTTCTGCTGAGAGATCTGCTGTAAGTCTAATAGGCTTCCCTTTATGGGTAACCTGGCCTTTCTCTCTGGCTGCCCTTAGTTATTTTCTCCTTCATTTTGATCCTGGTGAATCTAACGATTATGTGCCTTGGGGTTGCTCTTCTTGAGGAATATCTTTGTGGTGTTCTCTGTATTACCTGGGGTTGAATAGTGTCCTGCTTTGCTAGATTGGGAAAATTTTCCTGGATAATATCCTGAAAAGTATTTTCCAGCTTGGATTCATTCTCTCCATCACATTCAGGTACACCAATCAAACGTAAATTGGGTCTTTTTACATAGTCCCATATTTCTTGGAGACTTTGCTCATTCCTTTTCATCCTTTTTTCTCTATTCTTGTCTTGTCATTTTATTTCATTAAGTTGGTCTTCGACCTCTGATATCCTTTCTTCTGCTTGATCCATTCTGCTATTTAAACTTGTGCATATTTCACTAAGTTCTCGTGTTGTATTTTTCAACTCCGCTAGTTCATTTATATTCCTCTCTATATTGTCTATTCTTTTCAGCATTTCGTCAAACCTTTTTTCAAAGTTCTTAGTTTCTTTACATTGGGTTAGAACAAGTTATTTTAATTCCCAGAAGTTTCTTATCATCCACCTTCTGAAGCCTACTTCAGATAATGGCACACAGTCCTTTTCCATCAGGGCTTGTTCCGTTGCTGATGAGGAACTGCAATCCCCTGTAGAGGGAGAGGGGTTCTGATTTTGGGTATGCTCAGCCTTCTTAGGCTGGTTTTTTCTCTTTATTATAAATGTATCCATCTGTCATCTTTACAATTACTGCCTTTCTAATTAGGTTTCTGAGTCGACGTCCAATTTATTGATTCCCAGTGCTGGGATTCAAGCAACCCACTGCGCCGGCCAAAATAGCAGCGATAAGACTGATGGTGCTCTTCTGCTTGGGAATCTGTGGTCTGGCTTCCTTCTTGAGTCCGCAACAAGCGGCTCTGCCTTCCTGGAGCTCCAAACACTGGTCAGTAAGGGAACCAGTCCGTTTACTCTGCATGAAGAGCTGCTGTGCCAAGGCGCTGGAAAAACTGCTGCACCCGCCACAAGAGTTGCGCTGGCGACCCATGGGGCTCTCCCACTAGAAATCTGCTGGTCCGTGAGCAATGAAAGTTCATCTGAAAGTGTGGCATCCTCTCGTTCTCTGAGCTTTCACTGGGAGCTACAATCCTGAGCTGTTAGTGATCAGCCATCTTGGATCTCTCTCCTCAAACCACCTATTTCTAAGAGAATGTAGTTTATTCTCATGTGTCCACTGGGAATGTAGCAGAAAGCAAAACTCAGAGAATAATTGTTACGAAAGGTTTTAAAGCTTTAATTTGTAATTATTTTTATTTTATTTTATTATTTTTTTATAATACAGAGGGGTGTCTTGCTATGTTTCCTAGGCTGGTCTCAAACTCCTGGTATCAAGTGATCTTTCCATCTCAGTGTTCCAAAGTGCTGGGAGTATGGGCATTTTGGAATGTATTAGTATCACAAGTTCAAATTAAATGATCAGATTAAAATAGAAGTCAAATAATTAAATCACTTTCTGGATATATTTCTGCAATTTTAATTTTCTGCTCTAAAGTTATGTTTGAATGTTTGCTAAGAATTCCTTTTTTTCTGATGAAAAATATAGATTACCAATTTTTAAAACATTCAGAGGATATTTGAGGAGAAAATGCATTTTAAACAGAGAAAATAATATTGACAATAGAGATATGCCTCATCCCTAGAATCTACTTTGGATTTGTCTAATTAATATTACTTTTCATTGCTTTAATAAACTTATTTTTTAAATCTAATTTTATTTTACCATATTTAATGATGTGATAGCTTGAGTTCTATACCTATGATCTTTTCCTTGACTGTCTTTTTACATCTTATTGGAATTTTTTTCTTGGTCTCAATGAGTGATGTTAAAAATTTGTGTTGAAGAGTGATTTAGTTGTGCCACAAAGTAAAAGCCTGCTTATATGGTTACAATTTGATGCTGACCAAATGTTCTTTCAGAAAGTAATTCCCACATCTGCCAACTAAATTCTATCATACATCAAATTAGATGTTAGAACTGTTTCTTACCATCTGTATTCTGTAAACTCTTGAATGATAATTTCCCCTGATTATACAGAATATATATTTTAAATGGGAATTTTATTTGGTCTAATCTGTGATGGGTTTGTATATGTTATTATTCTAATTATGAAGAGTTTTAGAGTTAAAAAAAATCAAGCATAGGTCTCACTTTTTCCCCAAGCACACAAAATATTTACACTTTCCAACACCTTGCTTTTAGGTGGGATCATGCAAAATTAGCTCTGGCCAATCAAATGTGTGTTTAAGTGATGCATACCACTGCCAGGCTAATGAAGTTAAAAGCCTTTTAGTGATCAACTAGTATTTTTTTTTTGTTTGCATGTGGGAATTGTTGACACTATATGCTGAGATGTCAGAATTATAGGATTAAACATCCTGCATCCCTGAGTCACTAGATGGAGGACAGGTGCCCTAGGAAGTGGTCGGGACCCATATGGACTTAACATGTATGAGGAATAAACTTTTGTTATATTAAACCACTGAGATTTTCTGGTTATTCATTATTGTAGCATAGTCCCTTCTGACAACACATCAAAAAAATCTGTAAATTTGGGGCTTTTATTGACCAGTATGGAATTTCTGAATGTGTGGTTATACTTGGCAATGGTTCAGATACTACTTTGATTGAGCCTACGCTTTATTACATTATTTCTCAATACGTATATAATAAATTTAATAATTTTATCTTTACATCTAGTGTTGTATTTTATTAAAATATGTTTTAGGCCTTCTGTTTCTATTCACTCTACTGTGAGCAAATATGTAAGTGCACATCGCAATTATATTTGACCCAGAAATGTTGAACTCATCCATTTTGTTTATAATACTTGTCTTAGGACATGATTGATTATGTTAAATGTGCTCCACCTGTCAAATTTTGTTGTTATATTTTGTACTTGTCACATAGAATGCTTAACATGAAATATTTATTTCTCCCGAGGAGTCTTAAATGTGCTCCTCAGCTTCTGAAGTAGACAATGGTGGTAGTAAATATTTATTAATTGTAAAGCATGACACCAAAATCTTTGAGATGGACTACATGCATATGGGATTTCCATACTGAATGCCAATGTACATGTTGATGTGTAATGGATAATAAGGCTGATATCTCTGAAAATGTGAGCTCCTTTGGGGAAAGACTTATAAATATATTGAAAGGCATTACTCAGCCTTTTTCTCTCTCTTTGTTTAGTTTTTTTCAAAATCTAGGGGCATAGATAAGTAAAAACTTTCTGTTATGCTCTCTTCTCTTGTGCCAGTGAAATTATTCACTCATACATTTAACCGGTATTTACTGAGCACTTACTCTGCTCTAGGTACTGAAGTGGTACATTTAAAAATAGATGATGCTCCTGCCCTCACAGAGCTTGTATTCTACTGGGGGGTCGAGCTTATTACATGCGCTTTCACAGAGTAAATAAGAAGTTGTTGTGATATAAGGAGCAGTCAAATAAATCTCTTAGAAGAGGTGATATGTGATTTGAGACCTCAATGATAAGATCCAGTACCTCTAAAGATCAGATATTTATTTTGGAATCCATAGAGATCTAAATAAAACAGTGTAATAATTATCAGCTGATACTTTCTGGTTCATATCTTCTATGCAGAGGCATTACCCTATACTATATATTTCCTTATGAGATTAAGGTACTGATAATATGCTCCAATGACTATTTTTGATAATGATTTCCCACTTTAGATTCAACAGTATTCAAATCTGTTGATCAGACTCATTTACTTTTTGTGTAATTCTCTTCATATTCCAGTAAGTATATTAGTGTGTCAGGCTTGACATCTATATCTTATTCAGTTTTTAGATGCAAACTTAGTATGTCCTACTCATTATTTTTCTTAATCATCTAGAGTGCTGCGATGCCTTTCAAACAATCACTCACTCCCATTCGCTCCATTCTAATTCATTTCTTACACAGCAATGATACTAAATCCTTTTAAAATGTAAATCTTATTACTTTCCCTAACCTCTATAGACACATATCTGAGATTCTCTATTGGTTTCACTTTGCTCTTAGAATGAAACCGTCAGATACTAATAGCCATAGAACCCTTTCACATCTCTGCCTTCACATCTAGTGTTGTATACAGAGGGTCTCTCCCCTCTGTAACAGAGGAATTGGTTAAGTTTCTTGCATGTGCCGTGTCCTGTCCTGCCACGAGTCTTTGCATATGCTATTCCATCTGGAAGATTCTTAACTCACCTCATATTTGAATAATTTCTTTATGCTTTTTTTCAAATTCTAATTATTTTAAACATAATGAAATATATATAGAGAATAACACAAATGTAGTTTAAACATTATTTATCAAATTAAATATTTTAAGTTGTTTCAGATTTTTTAAAAACATTGAATGTATTACAGAATCATTGAGAGTTCCTAATATATTATTTCATTATCTTCCCTCCTAACCAGAAATCAACCACTGTTTTGAATCTGGCAGATTTCCATCAATGATTTTATATGAAAACTTCCCCTCTTTATGCAATTATAATCTCTGTCTGAATTTGGATAGGCATTTGGATAGAGGGTTAGGGAGCAAAGAATACCATATTATCTAAATCTATTTGGTTTCTGAATTTCAAAGAGCAAATAATGACAGTTTAGACAGAGATGTATATAGAAATGTACCAGATTTCATCAATTCCTAAGTCTCAATAGCAAAAATTTGGATAGTGAGAGATCACTGAATGAGAGTGTGTAAGTGTATAATATTTCACAATATTTGCAATTTGTATACATGAATTCCTAAGGTTTATATAAAGTCAGCTACTTTCATATTATGTCTTTTACAGACTTATCCGTGTTGACATTTATTTTCTTTGATTGCTATGTTTTATTATATAATTATGACATAATTTAGTTATCATTATCTCCTTCTCTGTATTATAAATAATGCTTTAGTGCATGTTGTTTTATATTTTGCTTATGCTCAGCTTCTCCTAGGACACATGCCTATGAGTACGACAGCTGGGTTGAGGGCTTAAACATTGCCAATTTTAAAAGATACTGTCAAATTCCTCTCCGATGTAGTTTTATCAATTCACTTTCCACCCATAGTGGCAGCTTCCATTTTTCTACTTATTTCCCAAAACTTGGTCATGTCAATATATGCTATATGTTTTTATCTGCATTTCCTTGGTCACAAATGAGGTTGGGTATTTTGCATATTTTATTAATTAATTTGAAAATTAATTATTTTGATAAAAAGAAAAAAATTCTTTTTGTGAACTGCCTGTTCAACTATTCTACTTAATATTATATGGAGTTATTTAACCTTTATCTTAATAATTTATAGAAATATCTTACATCTAGATATTAAAATATTGATCACCACTCAGCATGTTACTTCAGAAACCATCAGACTTCCTCTGTTTCCTAGCGCTCAGTACTTCTCTCCTTTACTTGCCACAGATGCTATTTGCTTTTGTGTTTATTATTTCTTTATTAAGTGCTATCTCTTCCACAAGATTTGTACTCTAGATTAGGAATCATATCTGTTTTTCACTATATTCATATTTCCTATACTTGAGGTCAGTGCTTTGCATATAGCAATAACTAAACTAGTACTTTTGGAGTCAGTAACGATGTGAATGAATGAATATATGTTAGTTGTGTCAAGCTTTGAATTAAGTTATTAATCATACTTAGATCCTCAGAGTATAAGAAAGATTAAAGAAAGCTTCTCTTCAGACGTATCAGGTCACTTCATACTGGAGACATTAATTAAGGCTAGCAGTCTTTACAAGACCTAAAACGATCACCATTTGAGACTTAAAATTATGTTTTCACTAGCTCCTGTCTGCTGATCATAACAACCCTCTTCAAATAATACATGAAATAAAGAATTGCGTAGAAAAGGAGAGAAGCAAATGTTGCCCTTCATTTTAAGTGTCCTTTAATGGTAAAACACTGTAGAACATTTATTTAAATCTGAATGAATAACAAATGGAATTGTTCTGATCAAGACTACTAAAAGGAGGCTCAATGAATTAATTGTCAAAAAAGCACAACTTTTTGCAATGCAACAATTCTTAACTGGGTTGCAGTTTGCTGAACTATAAATAAAATAGTTTAAGTTTAATTTTATACTGGTATAATCACTAAACTTTTAACAACACTTCCAGTTGTGATTACAAAGGAAGAGGAGCACATTAACCTCTGTCGAGATGATTGTTTAATTTTTAATCTGTAGGTTTTCTAAGCAGGAGGAATCTTTGAGCTTAGAAACTGTCGTTTTTTTCTAATTAAATATTTTAATAGCACATAAGGCTTCATATTTATCATAGATTACACTGATGAGCATAGCTATGTTTCCTGGGTCATTTTTTTTTTTCTTTTGTCTAGCTCTTATACAATTCCTAGCAGTTTTGGAAAGGTCAAGGAAAATAGGTAAGGAAGGATTAACTCTCTAACTGTTCACAGGTACCCACAG